AAACACGCAACACCTTTCAATCAACGAGAGATTTCTGTTCTCTCTGAGTCAACCTTAGGGCATCTGCGTTGCAGTTTAGCAGATGTGCCGCCCCAGCCAAACTCCCCATCTGAATATGTTCTCTAGATGAATCGCATTGCTGCTTGAATCCACAACATATTTTGTATGTTTTCATTTAATAGAGTAAGCAGAGCAACATCGAGGGTCGTGGTATTTCACTGTTGTTACCGAAGCAACTCCCACGTATTCTACACCCCCCAAGTCGTTCTACAAAATCAGACTAGAGTCAAGCTCAACAGGGTCTTCTTTCCCCGCTTATTTTGCCAAGCCCGTTCCCTTGGCTGTGGTTTCGCTAGATGGTAGTTGGGGACAGTAGGAATCTCGTTGATCCATTCATGCGCGTCATTAATTAGACGACGAGGCATTTGGCTACCTTAAGAGAGTCATAGTTACTCCCGCCGTTTACCCGCGCTTATACGAATTTCACCGTAGTAACATTCAGAGCACTGGGCAGAAATCACATTGCGTAAAAGGCTTTTCAGCTTATCGCAATGCTTTGTTTTAATTAAACAGTCAGATTCCTCTTGTCCACACCAGTTCTGAAACAGCTATAAAGTGCCTGGATGAACCGAAATTCACGAATGCACTCATTTCCATCGTCGCGAAGACAACGGAACATATTGAACAATCGTCCCAGACACAGCTTTCAGAGCCAATCCTTATTCCGAAGGTACGGATCTATTTTGCCGACTTCCCTCATCTACCTGCTTCTATTAAACCAGAGGCTGTAAACCTAGGAGACCTGATGCGGTTTAGGGTACGGATACAAATGCATTTTCAACCACCGCTGCTTCAAAGGCCAGTGCTTATTTACCCAATAGCCTCTATATAGTGACTACGATTCATCACAGTAATCTTTTTCTCCGGTTGATCCGATTCCAAAGACTCAGTAATTTACAGAGCGATGGCAACGCTCTCGGGCACAAGCAATGACGAAACGGTTCATACTGTGTCACCACAATGCAATTTGTAGTTAAGGAATTTAAGCCTTATTCCCTTTCGAGAATCGTTGTAAAACAACTGTCTCAACTTTTAAAGTTTTCTCTTAGGACCGACTAACCCGGGTCCAAACACTGTTCGCCCGGAACCCTTATCCACTTCGGTCGTCGCAATTCTCATACGACTAGTTGCTACTAACACCAAGATCTGCACTAAAGACAACTCCAGTCAGATTCACATCCAAACCTTCTGCGTTATCTTCACGCCCTCCTACACGTCCACAATTCTACGCAGACGGTTTGGTATCGGTTAGCTGCTTGAGCGTCATCCATTTTCAGGGCTGGTTCATTCGGCAGGTGAGTTGTTACACACTCTTTAGCGGATTTCTCCGCTTGATTTCAATCGATCAGCGTTACCCCTAGCTTTTTAATATGAATTTAGTGTTATCATTACTCACTTAACAGTCCCAATCTAACCCAATTAATTCCACTTACAGTGCTTCTTGCAGGCTTTTCACTTTTTTATTATACAAAGGGGTGTTTCTAAGTCGATTGTAATTAAATATTCGTCTAATAAAACCAAAAATTATAAGTTAAATGGTGCCAAATCTGATACTCCTAGGAACTATCAATATTTGTCGAATATTTGTTTTGTTGACAGCTTGAAAGCAATGTGAAACAATTTTCACAAAAGTACTTCAGACTATGAAAATGTAGAATTCATTGAAAAGCGAATCACAGAGTCTAGAATAAGATAATTGCAACTTTCTTATCGTAATTTTGTGTTACGATAAGATGCAACTATTTGGATATTCAAACTACTAATGTATTCAGCATCCAGATTTTCTAAATCCTTTGTACGATTCACAGAAGGCTAATTATAATAAAAACTCAGTAGTTTACCGTTCATTAACGTATCAGCGATATCTATATCGTCGTTTAGTGCTTTACAAAGTGAGGAAGTTTCTATCATAATTAAACATATACTCGTCACTATTTTCATTTTCTCACTAACAGGCTTACAAACGTCGCTATATCTGAATAGCTGACATATTATACGCAATAAAAAGTATTAAATTTTCATTTGCTTCATCGGATATTGTGTTTGCGCATCACATATATTATTACTTGAAAAAACATTGAAAAAGAAACTACAAAATTTATACCAGTCAGCATTAGAATTATCATGTATGCGATGAATAATTCGAGGACTAAATATAATATGTTTGTGTTTCCAAACACGCAACACGATGTGATACTACAAACACCAAATTATCTTTTGTTATATTAAACTAGACAATAGCAGAGTGTTGGAATGAAGTATACTAACACAATTCACTTTCTTGTGTTTCTACATACCATTTCAGCTGATCCTACTGATCTACCGGATTGTTCTGATATATCATTATCAATCGATCTTAATTGCGAGTCGAATCCAGATTCACCCGAATGTGCTTCGCTTAATGAGAATAACTTTCCAGTGAAACTTGAGAAATTCAAATGGGGTATTAATTTAGGAGATACGAAGTGTATATTACCGAACCATCTAGTAAGCAAAACTCATCTTATAGTTGCTGAAAAAGATAGTGAGAAAAATTGTTACCCGATATTTGGAACTCATGAAACGCCAATTGAGTCATCTCCTGCATATGCGCAAGATTACGAAGTTATTGTACCCGGTTCAGAAGCTGGTACCAAAATCACTCCTATAGAAATTGAAAAATGTCTTGCGCTTACATCAGACCCAGAGCAAAAAAAGTGGATCAACATGTTTCATTGCGGAATGGGCTTTGATGCTAGGGAATACTCTGTTTATACCAAGTGTGTTGATATAGATTCTTGTTATAAAGCTTGTGTCAGCGACGAAAACCTTCTTCTTGAAGATTCTACCTTCGGAATTCAATCTGGTTATATTGGGAATGTTATAATTGGCACTCATCTTGCGGACGATTCGTTACTATGTACTCATAGTTATATGAAATACTTTTGTATAAGCTATTCGCTTAATGATATTCCAGTTCCAAATTTATGCTATAGTACTTGTATTACAGAACCTTTTTGTGCATGGTGGGAATGGTCGGCTGCCGGTTGTGTCATAAAATTTCATTCCTTCCTAGCTATAGCCTTAAACTACCCGCTAGAAGGACTAAACCCATATACAGCAAAAACGCTTAGAGAACACATTTGTGGGAACCCAATAATGTGCCGGGACGGATCTAAAAGCTGTTATCTGGACAATAACAGTTGCATTTTTTATCATGAAGAGGAACCAAATTACTTCCCTGATAAAAGAAGACTAACTGCGAGCGCTGGCAAATCACTACAAATCCCAATAAGCATAAAAGGAGATGGCACGAGTATTTATACGGATCAACTGCGACTAGTAATTCAGACGATTAATTCAGAAGCGATTCCTTTAAATTATCAATATGGAATACAATTTCCTAACGACGACATCGAAATAACTCCTGATACTTTTGTTTATGACAAAAAAAAATTTGATAGAAACAACCACAGTTTAATAACTTATTCCCGGTCTGACGAATATACAGGTGAAAGCACAAAAAACCACTGCTTATTAGCCATAAAGAGGCACGATACAAATCAAAAAGTAGATGATTGGAACTTGACCTCAGACCTTAGCGTGTTTACTACGCTAAACTCACTGAAGGCTCAGTTCAAGAGCTTCAACGAGGTTGATTGCTTCAATGCAATTACCGATAATGAAAATGAGTTGAGTATTGATTTGGCCTGCGGTTGGTTTTTCAATGATGAGGCCAATAGTTCCGATGCTGAGATTGCTCAGGCGCAGGAACGGGAACTTGCGAATTGCCGCAAAAAAGGTCTGAACGAAACTGTGCATAAGTGGGTCACACTCACAACTGGCCATGTTGGCTTTGCATTGATTGGGTCTAATCCCATTTTCGACGGCTCGCTTTGCAGCTCGGAAAAATATGGCGACCTGTTGTGTAAATTACACGATGCAAAAACATCAACCTCTCCTGGAGATTGCTATTTGCAATGCTTGAGGAACGCAGATTGCGTTTGGTGGGAGTATAGTGCAGATGGTTGCGTTACAAAAACCGAGTTCATGATTGCTCTTGCCTTAAGTAATACTAATGTCCTAGAAAATGCATTTTACAAGCGATTCAGTCTCTACGATGCTGATTTTATCAAAGAAGTGATTTCCAGCATTAGAGAGTCGGTCTGCTCTGGTATATCTGTGGCTTGTCAAAACGCAAGTGCAGAATGTCTAGATTCAAGCAAACAATGTGTATACTACCTTCCAGGCGATGATAAACTGCAGCTTAATCACACTAGTAAAGACTCGAAAGCTACTATCATAAGATCGTCAAGCAGACGAGTTCTTAAGCCCCTAAAACTACAAAAATACACTGCCCCTAAAGAACGCAGCAACATAATTTATGCTGGCGTACTGAAATATCTTGAAACCTTGGAAACTACAACACCAAAACCCGATACGACAACTCAAACGTCCAACGGAGAAACTTCGACTTCCCCACAAAATTCTTCTACTAAACAACTCCTCATGTGGCTAATTCCATTAGTATCAGTCCTGGCACTTATGCTATGTATTGCTG